AAGCATATACTTGTGAATGGAGTAATGGAGTTGTTAATAAACTGCAAGTCCATTTGGCACATGAATTTGAATATATTCAAAAACTCACTTGGATAGAAGCCTAATGATATATTCAAATTTTTGTTCCATTTTGATTTATTACAGAGTTTAACAAAAGGATCTGCATAACTTTAGCCAATCAAAATTTCTTCTAAAGAAATTTCCAGAACGTTTATCATTTATAAATTAGGAAATACCAAATTTAGTCTTCAATTGTGTAATGATCTTCAAGCCAATAAAAATCAGCATAGCAGACATTTACATATTTGGTACTGATTTTCGTCAATCACATTTTGATTTATCACGTAAAATGAATTTTGATTGGCTGAATATCATTACTAAATAAACGATTAGAAATTTGACCACATGGCGCAGCAATAGGAGGTCTTTAGGCCGAGCTAACCATAACATAAAAATTACATGATTTTCAAAAGCTTATAACTCCTGAACCAATAATTATTTTTTAATTGTCTCAATGATAAATTGTAGAACTAGTCAAAAGCTATCAAATATCATCACAATAATTTTTTGATAAGCACACAATATTTTCTTTTTAGGTTTTAAAGTTGGTCAATTTTTATTTGATGGGTTATTGTGGTGTGCACTATATAACTATATGATATCTGGTTTGTTATCTACTGCCCTTCAGACAGGCTAACTATATGTTCTCCGGTTTGTTATCTATTACCCTTTGAACAGAAAACTTGGCAATTACCTCACAACAGCTTGCAGAGAGTGTGTGTGTGAATGCAAGTTCATATATTTAACTAATATTAGTGAATTGATATAAAATTTGGGTCTTGCTTGGGCATTAAATAGACCAGTTGGCATAAAAAAATCAGTAAAAATTGGTCACTGTCCAAGAACCAATGTATACCTAAAAAAAAGCTCACATTGTCTTGCTTCTAAAAAACTTATTAATATCAATTTATTTTATTTTATTAATTTATTAATTTATTATCATTTATATTAAAATACAAATAAGTTTAAAAGATTATTTTGTTTTAAATTTTTTATCCATGAATCTAGGTTTGTTGTTGCTAATTTTTTGAGTCATAAATTTATTATTAATAATATTAAATAAAGTTTTTGGAGTTTTTAAACTGATTCAACATAATAAACCCAATAATATCAACAATATCATAAAGAATGCACCATAGACATCATAATAATTTCCTTTAAAAAATCCCATTCTGGTGTCAGGTGTGATCCATTCTCTCATCAATCCATCAATATATTTATCATCTTCATCTCTATCATCCAAAGTATTTGCATGTATCATATATTCAATCAAAATCTGCTGCTCTATACTTTCTTTTGCTGTTGATTCTAGTCAATACTTTTAATCTTTTAGAACTTTTTTCAATATTTTTGTCATTTAACAATCTTTCTAATTTTTCAATAACTTCAGGTACATTAAATGATAATTTATTTAATGTTAATCCAACATTAAGAAATTCCAATCTTTCAGCATTTCCATATTGATCAAATGCTAAGGGTAATGACAATACTGGCACTCCATAATATAATAATTTATAACAACTGCTTCGACCTACATGACTTAAAGTTACTTAATATTTTCATGTGCTAAAAGTGCCATCTATGGTACATGATTTACAATATGAATATGTTTAGCTATTGTTGCATTTAACAAATCAAATTGTGGTAAATGTTCTTTAGGTGTTTGCCTAATGACCATATTATACCATCAATCATTTTTTTATCAATTGCTTCAGTGAATGCTTTTAATAAAATTTCATTATTTTCTTTTGTTGTGTGAAAAATTGTTCCAAATGTTACAAGTATTGTTCAAGGATGCTCTGATAAAAAGTTCACAAGTTCTGATGATAATGGTTGTATATAATCTGGTAAAATTGGACAAATATCCAAATAAAGTGGAGATGAAGGTTGTGGTACCTGTTATTATATATTAAAATAATATTTTAATTGGATTCATTATTATTACTATTGTGAATATTTTTAATATTAATTATATTTTAACCTCAAATCCATAAAAAGTACCAACCAAAAATAATGATTTCCAATGGATTAAATGTTAGTTCAACACCCAATTGTATTCTGTATTGATTAAATCATTTGAATGTGAATAAAATGTATAATATAGTCTCAGTGGTTTAAGTATTTCACATTTAAATCTATTCCAAAATGATTCATTTTCCATATAAATTTTACATTCAATCATTGGATCAGAAATATATGGTAGATTAACAACTCCTAAAATCAAAATTATTTTAAAAAATTTAATATAAAAATCAATGAAAATTAAAAATTCAATATTTATTTTTTACCCATAAAGTCAGTATTAAATGAAACCATTGGTATATTTAATTGATAAGCAACATCAAAACATGCAAGATTAAAGAGTGCTTCACAAAAAATCAGTCCAGGTTTAAGTTCTTCAATTGTTTGCTGATAAATTTTATATAATTTAGGATAATCCTTATTTTCTAATTGTTGAACTCCATATACTTCTTTCAAAGTTACAAGTCCCTTTACAGATCTTTCGAAAATAGGATGTTCCAGTGGAAATTTGTGAAATATTTGGATAATTAGGACATAGTACATAACTTCCAGGTGCTAATAATGTAACCTTTTTTAAAAAAAAAATAATAAAATTTTTTATTTTTTATTTTTGAAATTAAAAAAATCAACTGCAATAAAAAAAAATAATACTTGCATTAAATCCACATGTAGATGAAATCCAACATCCTTTGGACATGACTCCATCCTAAAATCAACAATTTAATAATAACAATAATAATAAAGATTATTATTATATTATTAATTTGATAAATGCACAATCAATTCAATAAATTTATTATCAACCTCCAAGTGCAGATATTTTTAGGCAATTTGCTACAATTATAGATGGCGTCTAAATTGTTTTTGGAGTTGTCTAAAGTCAAAATAGTATTTAGACAAAAAAATGTCTAAATGTCTAATATAGATAGTAATGATTTGCTAAAAGTCATGTGCACATACTCAAAATCCACAAAGTTCAGTAAATTATTCAATAAAAAATTCAATTTCAGCATTTTAGACAATTGAGACCATGATTGTCTAAATGTCTAAATTAACTTATATTTTAGACATTATCTAAATAATTTAGTTTAGACACACATCTATAGCTACGATCAATTTCTGATAAACGTGGAATAAAATTCAGTGGTGGTGAAAATAAATGATATGTGCCTTCACCTTTATCATAATAATTTGCATCAACTCCAACTATTATTATTATTAATAATAGTAATAATGTAATGTTTATAAATATGAGTTTAAAAAAATACGATTTTTTAAAACCCATTTTTGTTTATTTGGTTAACAATATATAAAAATACAATTTTAAGAAAATCCATACCAAAAACCTTTTAAATTGAAGTTTCCTTTTTCATAGTAATATATATGTAAATGAGCATTCGACTAAACTATTTCGTTATGAAAAAATTGTTCGACTGAACCTAAATTATTTTTTGATTTACCTAATATTAATTCGGGTTGGGATCAATCAAAGAAACTTTCATCCCAAAAAATTGTGCATTTGCTTTATATGCTGTATTTTCCAAAGATTCACTTGCACCATCCTTTTTCACAACAATACACATATCTTTTTTTGATCTCTTCTTTAATATATTCAAATTCATGTGCCAAATGGACTTGCAGTTTATTAACAACTCCATTACTCCATTCACAAGTATATGCTTTGAATTTGTCCTGGATGTTTTGAATGATAGCATTCAAAATGTTGCCAAGCTGCATTTTTTGGTTGCCCACCATATTTTTTTGAATTTGATGAACTATTTATATCTACATTAGTGTTGTTTGACATTATTGTTTTTATATATTTATATTGATTTAAGCTAAGCCAATGATTTAATTAATTAATTGTCAGGACAATAATATCAAAATAGAGGAACTTTCGATAAAAACGTTGGTCACTTGAAGAGAAAACGATTTCGAACAAACAACATGTCATATGATCATAAAATCAGCTTAGGAGTTTCGAAGTAGTTTTAGAGTTTCTAAACTAATTTAAAAAGGAAGTTAATTAGGCATTTCTAAACCAGATAATCGTTCACTGAATAATTAATAATGATCAAATGATTATTCATTGATAATGAAAAATTTTAAATTTATTAACCATTTTACATTCTATCAAAATTATCAATCCAAAAAACCATAGTGGATTAAATTTTGTTCTTTTTGAATTTCCTGCTTGACTAAATAATTTCTCTCATTTGGAGCGGACGTTGAAGGCAGGTTCACACAAATGTTTAGGTAAAACTGGAGATCTATTTTTATGGATCATGTTTCAATATCCAACTTGACTTCTTAGAACCATTCTTTACTTTGCTTTTCTTCAAAATATGAGCAACAGAAGGCTCTTTCCTTCTCGTTATTGTATTATTACTTTTTCCTATTATAGCGACTGAATGTTCTTCTCCCGTTTTAAATGAACGGGAGTGGAATAATTAATTTAATTAAGGAATTAGAAATGAACAAATAGATGGATTAAAACGAGAATTTATTTGAACATGAGATATATGAGATACCGATTATCAGTTATTCAGTGAATATTCGCTTTTAATTTATTATATTCAATCAATGAAAAAATAAAATATCCAATCAAGGTGTCTGGTTCGAGAAAATTTTATCAAAAAGTATCAAACCAAAAAAATTTCTTAAATAATAATATGTAGAGTTCTATTCGAATAAGGTTCATTCAAATTATTCGTCTTATTCGTTATTATTATCATTATTATCATTATTATCATTATTATTATTATTATTATTATTATTATGAATTTGAGTATTCGAATTACATTGAAAGTTTATTTGAATAAAACAGATTTGAATAAAATAATATATTATTCACATTGCTAATCCAATCCAATAAAGTATTTTTTCTTTATCAATCTATTTTTCCTTTGTAGTCCTTGTATATAGTGATAATAATAATAATAATAATAAATAGTGGTAGCAGAAGTAATTAACCATTTTATTTTCTTTTTAAGTCATAGTTAGAGATGTGACATTCATAGTAATCCTAATTTTTTTTCACGTTTCAAAAAAAACCGGAAAAATTAAACCAATCATTGTGGAACAACCACTGCATTGATTTGTATAAAAAATGGCCCATTCAATAGATTAAAGCACAATTTTTTATTAGTTTTAATTAATAAACCAACATCTTGATTTTTTGATCAAATTAAACTAATTAGAAACAAATCAGGAATTAGATCTCGTTTTTTAATAATGAATTGTCCCAGACCTTGAAAATTTTGACTTTTATTACATTATTTGATAAATGGTTACTAAATATTTTGAAGAAATAAAGAAAAAACAAGTAGATAAATTGTATTAAATCACGTGATTTTAACTGTGAACCAACAATCAACTCTTCTATGAGCCAAATCGCCTATTTCGTTCAACTTATTAATATTGAAATAGATATTTGTGAATGAAATGCTTATAATATGATGTGTTTGTCAGGTAGATGTATCCCTTTTATCCTAATAATATATAATTGGAAAAAAAACAGTAAAATTCAACCCTATTGCACGTTTTAAAAGCTAATTACTCAAAAACTAAACATCAGATTCAGTTAGAAAATGATTTAAAATAACTTTAAAAAGCAAAGCTTTGTTTAAATTTTATTTGAAACAATTTGGGTTGTTTTTTAGTGAAAGTTACAAAAAATTTCTGGTTTTTTTTGAAACACACTGTATATCATACGGAGGGAAATATCACAAATGCGTACATAAATAAGAAAGTAAATGGCACATTTAATTTTTTCTTGGAAATGTTTTGTTAATGAATAAATATCTATAAAAAACATAGCCAAACCCTTATGCGTAACTAGTAACCATAGTAGTAGTAATATAGATTATGAATATGTTTATTGTAATTTATCTTGTTAAATGGAATAAGTCCTTATTTATAATTTACAATCCCTTAGCAATAACAAAGAGAACATTATAGGATTTGTTGCATCAAGTTGTGAATTAATATTTTATATTTTGTAAAACGTACAAAGCAAATAAAACGTACAAAGTGAATAAAACGTACTAAACGAAAAATTCGAATAAAAATGAAATGATAATAATAATTCGGAATAAGAAATTGTATTAGAACTTTAATAAGCAATATTCACTGAATATTCAATGAATATTCAAATATTCAAATTATTCGCCGTTTTATTCGAATTATTCGTTTTATTCGCTTTGTTCGAATTACTCGTTTTATTCATTTACTCGCTCTATTCGATTTTATTTTTTTGGTGTAACACGTCCATTTTTGGAGATTTGAATGATTTACATAATCCGGGATCCTGTAGCATAGTGGACTTTCGATTTTAACACTAAATGTGACATAAAGTGACGATCATATTTATATTGTGCAACTAACAAAATTAATTGAAAAAGTACTTTAAAATACTCATTAAT